CTATAATGTCCCTTGTTTCATGCCTCTGCATTTATTGCCATCATTAAAACCTAACCAGTGTAAGGGGCTTCTAGATGAGACTGATTAAATTATTGCAATGGTTTCAGGCCTGTTTATGGGACATAGGCTGTATCATCTGCCTTGGTGGATTATCCACCCTGCAAAATGAATGGTTGGCTCTGTTGGATCTCTCATTGGCTTTTGAAACCAGCAAAACAGCAGTTCGTTGCGGTTCATGGTCCATTGAGGTCCACAAAGCATGAACTTGCTTGACTTTTGGGAAAAAATGAACCACAAATTGGTTTGTTTTGGTTTGGAAGTGTGAGAGACCTAGAATGGCCCCCAAGCCACTTGGAGACACCAAAATTGCAGAGAAGTGTCTCATGGCTCCTCTCTACACCCCCTCCAATTTCAGTGAAGTTTGGTTTTGGATGTCCAAGTTATACATCCTCAAACTAAGTCCCCCCCCCCGCCAGGAAAGTGCCATTTAGTAGCTAGCTTGGGGAAAATTTCAACAGTGTGTCATGCCAGGGAATCTGACACAGGGTGTTGCTCATCAGGAAATGAACTGGGGAGGGACAATGTCCTTTCTCCAAACCCCATGGACAAGAGAAGCAATGAGCCACTAGAGATCTGAGCTAACCTGGTTTCAAGGTAGAAGGGTTCCTCTGACTAGCAGAAGTGGCTCAGAGGTGAAAATGGCTCATGTGAATCAGTCTTATAAATAAGAACAAGCAACTTCCCCGGAGCCCTTTGAGTCATGCATTTGGCTTCCTGACCTGCCAATCCAGTAGTCTCTAGATCCCTCCCATGGTTGCCTAGTGCTTCTGATTCGCAGGAGCAGGCTATCACATATAGTCATAGCCAAAAAATACTGGCACCCTTGCAATTCTGTCAGAAAATGCAACCCTTCTCTCAGAATGGGATGGAATTTGAAAGCACTGTAATGGTCCTTGAAGTAGCCCTTTAGAGAGGCAAATTCAGAATATAGAATGAGGAATTCTTCTTATGTGCTCTGGCCATTGATCAGCAGTCTTCCCTAGAAGACTGTATTTCTGCTGTAGAAACTTGAGAACACAAATGTTAATTATTACCTCTGTCATAATTAAAAACTATTAAAGGAGTAAACCTGACAGGTCTTAGGACCCGATTTTCCCCAGTCTCTAGGTATAACAAGCAATGAGTCAAGTTCATAATGAGATATGCTGAAGGAAAATATAGTTTGATTTTGTGTGTTAAGCAAATTTAAAATCTAGACACCCATCTCCTTCTATTCTGAGCTCGTGCCTGGACTCATGGCTGAGTGAGAAGGCAATTGTGTGTGTGTTGCACTTACACAGTTTCAGTGAACCAAAAAGCCAGGATCAAGGAGAGTACATGAAAAAGAGTCCATAAGTGCATGCAGTGAGCCCATCATGCCATATGGCGCAAGACATGAACTGGGGCACCATGATACTGGGGTTTATTGTTGCACAAACCCTGGCAGCAGCAGTTGCCTGTAGGGGGAAAAAACTTCCTCATGGACTTCAAGTCCCACCTGCACTGTAGGGTTTGGGGAAAAATCCATATGAATGGACATAGGTGGACATAACGAGGGTCCTACATCCACTCACCTTCTGCTGTTGCTACGAGCTCTGTGCTCCCCCTCCTATTGCTCTGGAGCTTGTGGTCTACAAGCCACTCCTGGCAGGAGGCAGGAGGGCAAGCCTTACTGCAAGGCTGAAGAGTGGCTTGCAGAGTGCGAGCTCTGGAGTGATAGGAAGGGAGCGCAGAGCCTGCAGCAACAGCGGAAGGTGAGTGGACGGTCCAGCCCCAGGGGGCGGAACCCTCGTTATGTCCAGTTGTGCAGGGTTATTCATATTCATACACAAATATCAATACCCCCATCTCTAGTGCTGTACATAATGCTGCTTGGAATGAAAATTGTAGAGGGAATGGTGGCAACCACTGCTACATTTGTTGAACTTTGCTGCTGTTCCCAGGGCTTGAATTGCCATATTAGCTGGTCAGACGGGTTTTGCCCAGATACTTACCCCCTTTTTCTTGCATTGCTCTTGTTCCTATTTCCATCATCCGTTGGCTTAGAAGCAGGATGGCTGCCCTATAATCTTTGGTGACATTGAAATAAAAAGGGCTGAACTTTCTCTCTTTCTTTCTCATTACATTTCTCTGTCTCCTTTCTACTGAAAAATAGTAAACCCATCTGGCTTGCAAATATGAAGCACACCATCTTTCTGTATGGGAACACAGAAATAATTTTGTGGAGTTCCAAAGCTAGTATGTATCTTGACACTGTTTGCTCTGGAGTTTATGAAAATATTGTTGGATTTTTAGCAGTAATTCAGCACCAAACTGTTGTTGTTATATGCTGCCAAGCCAGAACCAACTTATTGTGACCTTAATAGGGTTTTCTAGGTAAGTGAAACATTTAAGGAGTCATTTTACCAGTTCAACTTCCCCAGCGAGTTTCCATGGCTGAGCATCAACTTGAACCCTGTTCTCCAGAGTCCTAGTCCATCACTCTGTCCACTACATCTTGCTGTGAACCAGTACAAAACTGCCTCTGGATAAATGTCACCCATATAGCTTTAGTAACATTTCCAGTGGTAATTCAATTAACAAGCTTATAGTGCACTGCTAAGACAAAACTCAGTTTTTGGCTTCCCTTTATGTGTTGGGACAGCCTGTTGTTTACTCACTCACATGGGCAATAGACAATTAAAAACTGAATAACCTGAAGGCATCATTATCTAAGGTTTACATTATTTTACCATTAAGAAAATATAATTTGTTTCATGCATAAAAATAATGAATGAGATAAATACAGAATAATACATTTTCTGATTCATAATACAGCTATATAGTAACTCTACTTGTCAGGGTAGAGCAAAAGGGTTAAAATATAGAACCCTTCTGATCTGCACTAACTGAAAAAAAGGCACAAAGTAGCCAATGAATTAGTAGTAATTATTGTGGCTTAATAACTACAGTATTTGAAAAATAAAACTGTGGGAATAAATATTCTCTACTTTACACAGAATAAAAAAGTGTGCTGCTCATAAAATGTCAGTAAAGCAAGATTATTTGCCAGTGTTCAATATTTGATAGAAATCCTGAGCTCACTAATCACATCTGCTTGTGCATGATTTGATTTGATCTGGTCTTGGTATGTAGGCAAGTCAAATCTATGTTGCTTATTACTGTCAGATGAATTGTGAAAATTTAGGTAGGCCCGAGTACTTGTTTCTATCAGTTTTTCTAGTAGAGTCTCCTTATGAAAATTAGGTGAAAGAAGCATTCTCCACTAATACAGTGATTCCCAACATCTTGGGTCCCCAGATGTTCAAAAACTCCTAGAAGCCTTCACCACTAGTGGTGCTGGCCAGGATTTCTGTGAGTTGTAGTCCAAAAACATCTGGGGATCCAAGGTTGGGAAGCACTGTAATGACAGATAGCCACTGCCTGGTATTTCTACACTTTCTAGTATCTATATTGATATCTTCGCTGATAAACATATCAGTGACACGGAATACATAATGGCCAGGATCCAAGGGGAATCCATGCAACCCCTTGTGGAACCACAAAACCTGTTCCAGAGGGCAGGAAATACTTTGGAACTGGTTTCCAGGCAATGTAAAATATTATGGGATGATGGATGGCAAATTCAATTTAATCACACAGATGATGAGTGACTAGGATGATATTGGATTTAATCCACAATCCAAGAAACAGGTACATGCTGCCTATGAACTCCTGTTTCCCTTCACTCCGTTTCATAATTCTTTTGTTAACACGCTCCAGGCAGTAGGAAAAGTAGGGTTTAGAACAGACATGAGAGCTTTGTATTTGTCTCCCAGGAAGAGGAATTTGAAGCCAGTTGCGAAGGCAGTCAAGCCAACACTGCCCCGTGTCTCCCCTCAAGCTGACCACTCCGGTGAGAAGGTGGAAAGACAAGTCTCACCACACACCTGCTGAGCAGTCAGCTGAGAGGAGAGGTGGGGAAGCTCCAGTGGGACTATGTCTGTGATTGGCACAATGTTGCTCTCACTGGGCACGTATGAGCTGAGAAGCCTAGTAAGTGGACCAGGCTGGTTCTGGGGGGAGGGAGAAGAATATCTGGGACATCTGTTCTGGCGGGCTTCATATTCGTCTCACCCAGGAGGCAGATACGAAGCTCCCATGTCTAGGCTAGAAGTCTATATAATGGCTGTAATATATATATAAAAAATAAGGCTATCTGAGAAGAACAAGCAATTTAGAACAGCTGCTTGAGCTATAATGAACTGATGAATCACTGTGTCCAAATCCGTCTATCTTTTCAAATTCAATTGCTTTTCATAATCATTCATTATTTTTTGTTTATGGACATTAGAAGATTTCAGAGATATGACTAAAAATCAGGAAGCAATGTTTAATTTTTAACAGGAAAATTGTCAGTCCATTTCTTAATTTTTCATAAAATGTATATAAGCATTTCACATAACTGATTCTGGTTTTAAAGTCCAAAATTTCAATAGGCATTTATTACTTTTTATTATTGCTTGACATGTTTTTTGTGTAGATATGAACTAATTAAATAAAAAAACTGAACAGCACTTTTTACAGTAAATTTCCTTTAGCTCACTAGATGGAATGATTCTAAATATCCATACGGCTATTTGATTAATTTTTTCCCCACCTGTGAAGATAGTTTGGCTATAGATTGGTACAGAATTACTTAAAACGTTGCATATAAATTAAAAATTAAAAAGGTAGATATAGACAGAATAAGCAACTCAGCTCTAAACTTTGGTTATGCAATTACTGCCCCAAGGGCAGTCTGTCTATTTCATATCATATGTCATCCTTTTGAAAGACGAGCACAAGGTTCAAGTAACATTTCAGCAAAGCAGGAAACTGTATAATTTATAGGCCTTTTTAAAAATGAAAACCAGACAAACTGCTTTTCATAAATTAAATCTTTCTCTTGTCTCCCTCTCCACCTTTTTTTCTCTATCCAGATTGGAGCACTGAAGGATTACTACCACTTCTACCATAGTAAAACAATTAAAAGGTCAGTTCTCTCAAGTAGAGGTACTCACAGCTTCATTTCAATGGAACCAAAGGTAAGATAATACAGCTGGCCAGTAGTATAAGATGCAAGCATCTGCATTTTTAATTTGAAACATTATGCCAGGAGATGCTTACCTGGATGGCATCTAAGGTTACAAAAGCTGACATATCATTTGTTCACCAAGCATCTACTGTACTTCACATTAGGCTAAAATGAAGACAATATTGTGTGTGCTGTCCTAAGAATATCACGTCCAACATAGTTTATAGGAACAGTACCTGTATCTCAGGATCAGCATGTCACTCTTCACTAATTTAAACAACCCTAAACTAATGTAACAGCTTGTTGTCATTCACTGTGTAGGTGGTAAGTAAAGAAATGTATCTTGTGACAGTAGGTGGTACTGCTGTGTAAGCTCAAATAAGTGCAAGGTAGTTGTGCATGCTGGGTAAAGTTGCTTTGTAACTTGCATCCATCTAAATTACATAGTTGTCAAACCACTTGTTTACCTGAGAGTAATCCTTTTCCAGAAGAATAAATAGCATATCTGAGACTGCAATGTCTCTACTACCTTTTTTCCCCTTTCAGACCAGAGACTTCTATGTCACCCTCACAATAGGAAGGGATACAACATGGAACTTTCTCAAAGTATGCAGAAGGAGAAGCCATGCCTGTTTAATTTCCAGTTGTTCTTTCCAATAGACACAATATTGGGGTGGGGTGGGAGTTTAAAGGTGATGCTATATATGAACATAATTGTGTCTGTTATGTCAGAAACACTTGGGATTTCCCCCATATTATTGAATTGCCTTGCTGTTACCCTGAATGGGTTGTATGGAGTAGATGGAGCATAGTGGAGAAAGTGGGTGTGGACCATTGACTATGAAGTCGACATTGATTGCTGATAATGGGATTCTGGGAGATGTAGTCCAAAAAGGTCAATCTTTGTTTCTTTGTTATTAGAACAAATTATTTGGCTGATCTGATTTTACTTGCAGTGTTGCTGATTAGAGATCGGCAGAAACCGATGGTTCATGAAGTTTGGCAGACGGCTTGACAGGTGTTCCACAGGTGCCCCACTCCCTCCAACAGGTGTCCACTCAAAGGTACTGTAGCACTCCAGCTGCCGTGGCCCACCTCCTCCAGGCGCTGCCTCTGAGTGGGTGCCTGCCAGAGGGGGTGAGGCGCCAAACTGCAGAACATCTGTTGGGTCATCAGCCATACTGTCACAAACTGTTGAGCTGGTGGTTCATGCTAATCTCTGTTGCTGATAGAAATGAATCAGTTCATTGGGAAATTGAAGCCTTACAGCAAAATACAAGTCATGTTTGTCTCTGCATTTATAGCTCACCGTTCTTTGTAATCGTCCTCATTGTCTGCAGGCGCTTTAAAAAGTTCATCCTTCAGATTCATAACTGCATGTCCATTTGTTTAAATGAGATATCCAAAATCCCCCACTGCAGCTAAGCCCATTATAAGGTTCTATTATACTGACAATCTCATTGTAGATTGCTGGGCCAGAAAAAGATTCATCTATAACTTCAGAATAATTCAGTGCCTAATTACTGTAACAAATAGATTAGGATGTGAAACACATTAAATAAGATGGCATTCATTTTTTTTCTTAAACTGCTCATTAGACTGTGAGAGTGCACTGTCACTTTGAGATTAGTCAGACACCCTGGAATGCAACATGTTGTGGAAAAAGTAATGGTATCTGCATGTTCACTTTATCCTCTTATCAGACTCAGAAACCTAAGCTACAGAAAATAGGCAGGTATCATGTTCTTGCAAGTTGCAGTGTTGATAGCTATTGTCCTGAAAGCAAATTAAGGTGTCCAGAGTTTACACGGCAAGAAAGTTACTGTTCTAATAACAATAATAACATGCAAACCTGATGAAATCTGAATATTTAATGACACTGCTGATCATTGTTTTGGATTATGTAATATGAGTCTACAATAAGGCATGTTTGTATGTTACAATAAACCATGGTTTGTTAATTATGGTTTGTTGCTTAAACTATAAATAACCAAACAAATAGGAGCTTGTCTTTTCCTATTTTGCTTTGGTTTTCGAGTATTTCTTTCCTGTTCTTTTTTAATAGTTCCTTTTTCAGAGTAAGCAGTTGGGGAAGTAACTCATGGACAAGCTTTAGTTGTTGGTTCTTGTGTAACAAGCCATGGTTTAAGCCAGCCAGAGTTTATAAGCTGACAGCAAACCATATTGTGGTTTGTGACTGGTTAAGAATCCAGGGCATGTTGGCAAAAGTGGAGTGACACATCACAACAAAACACATTTCAGCAAGCCGCACTATAGCTGATCATAATGTGTGGTTCTATTCATTGTTTCAGCAGGATCAGCATAACAAAGTACTTAACAGCATTTTAACCAAGTGTTCAAATAATTTCACACTCATATCAATAGTACTGAAGAGAAAGCAAGTATTATTGTCAATATTAGAAATGGACACGAATCTCAGTTTTGAGGTTCATGCCAATTTGTGCACAGGGCACTACACGTGCCACATGTTCCCTTCCCCCACCTCCTAGTCAGTGACCCACTTGCCAGCTAGTGCACGCTCTTTTACTCCTCTTCAGCTATTTGACCACTTCCCAGCAGGAGCACGGGGTTGCCTGTCCTGTTTCCTTCTCTGAGTTGGCGATTAGCCAAGGAGGTGGGGTAGGGAAGCCCATGCTCCTTCTGGGGACTAGTTGAGCTGGTGTAGTGTTTTTTCATTGTTTCTGGTTTAGAAAAAAATGTATCTTAAAACATGACCACCATAGTACTGTCAATACAAGAAGTGTGCCTTATGTTCTTTGAAATTACTATGTTTGGGGGTAGGGTTATCAATAGCTCAAGGCTGGATCTCTTGAGTGATACCAAGTGTCCTCCTCCAGAGTGGCATGTATCATATCTGTTGTATTTCATTTACCTGTGATCTAGTTGTTCCAAACCTTGGGTAATTGTTCCTAACTTTGGGTGGCCCAGGTGTTCTTGGACTGCAGCCTTCATCACCAGCTGTGCTGGCCAACATCTCTGGGAGGTGCAGTCCAAGAACACTTGGGCTACCCAATGTTAGGAACCACTGATCTAGGAAATTACTTATCCTAGGATGTACTCCGAGGTAACTATACATGATGCACCTTCATATGTTCATAAGGGTGCAATCAGCTGGGGCTTTTTCCCACAGTTTGATCTGCTTTGTGGATGGGCTTGATTGCTCCTTTTTCCAGTAACACGGCATTTAAAATATAGTGCTGGAGGAGATCTTTATGGTTGCTGCAGACCCCCGGAAAGACAAACAAGTGGGTCCTAGTTCAAACCAAGCCTGAACTTTCTCAGGAATCAGAAATTGTGAAATTGAGGCTGTCATACTTTGGGCACATCATAAATGAACAATACTGGCTTAAAAATACATTAATACAGTACTGGGGAGAGCTGAAGGCAGTGCGAAAAGAGGAAGTTCAAATATGAGATAGATTGACTAAATAAAGGATGCACTCATCAGCTTCCTTTGGTCAAGCACTGCTTCTGTTTTTAATTCTAGCTTTTTCACACACATTGTTTGGAGCAAAACAAATAGCAGGTGTTCATGATGTACACTAGCAATTGGACACATCTGTATTTGGATGGCCAGAAGAGTCCTAGACAGGAAATGGAGGAGCAAATAAAGGAAAAATAAGTCCCATGCTTATGATGGAGACAACTTACAGTTCTATTAGAAGTAAAATATTGTGAGTGACAGAAACCAACCATTTTAACATAAAACATAGTATTATGTGTTTTCAGCTATACTCCAAAATACAATATACTGTATATGACATTTCTATCGTATTTTTAGAGTATATGTAGAACAATATGAAAAAAATACTAAAATAACAATTGTATAGTTTAGTCAGACAATTTTCACACTGAGACTATCACAAAGAAACAGAATTCTCTAGTGCATATTTGGAATGTTCAACGGGAGAAGGACAAATAAAAAATAAAAGAAAAGAAAAATTGCCAGCTGTAGTTTTTAAGGGATGTTGGAATATTTCACTCAGCTTATGTTGCCAGGAAAAGAAGGAGAGCTAGTAGCTCTTTTGGCTGAGAGGATGATGTGTTTCAGATTGATCCAGAAAGGAGGAAATGGAGATACAGGAGTTTGGGATTATAATTGGGTGTGGAGAATGACAAGCTAATCATGTAAGGACAGCTGCCATAAGATCTCTTAGTGCAGAATGGAGAGCAAGGCAATATTTTGGAAGCCAATGTTGTAGAGCACACTGTTTAGGAATGTGACAGAGAAGAGGGCTATTTTAACAGGGCACAATGTAATATCTAAATTGAAATCCTGTCTGACAGTTTGAACTGAAGGGTTGGTTCTCTCTCTCTCTCTCTCTCTCTCTCTCTCTCTCTCTCTGTGTGTGTGTGTGTGTGTGTGTGTGTGTGTGTGTGTGTGTGTGTGTGTGTGAACAGATATATCATTATCTCTTTTTCTCTACATGGCAGATACTCATATGCACATAACTACATCTTTAAAAACAATCTCTTCTTTGTAGTCTCTGTGAACAACATAATTGGGTTTCCTCTGTGTCTATGCAGAGATCTTTGAAACATTCTAGAACCTTAAAATGATTTCTTAGCCCACACTCTCTGGACTGAGCATTCTCCACATCTTGCAACTAATCTTCAGTTCCCATTTAGTCATCACCGAGGTAGCATTCTCAAAGCCCTGATTTTTCTTCATGTTTGTAAACAGTTGTTTTCTTCAGTTTCCTTACCTTTATTCATTGATCCATTCCTTTTCTGAGTTTTGTCTGTCCTAAAAAAAGTTCTCATTATTTGTCATTCATCACTCTGAGCTTTCCCACCTTTTTATGGCTTCCGCAGGCCTAATTCAAGCAGTCTCTTCAAACCAGATCCCTCTCACAATTGGACAGTCTAATTGCCTCTGTTGCCTTGGTGAGGGGCACCAAACTGAAAATTGCCAGTCTGTAGAAACATTATCGAAGTAGCCTTGAAAACCAGACAATCATGTCTAAAATCCTACATTTGGGAAAAGTT